GGGGAGCCTGCTTCTCCCTCTCCCACTCCCCCTGCTTGTGTTCCCTCTCTTGCTGTGTCTCTCTCTGTCAAATAAGTAAAATCTTAAAAAAAAAATTGAAATGATCACCATCTACTTTTTGTTTCTATTCTAACATCCATCACTAATAGACTAGAAGGACAGAACAGTAAGGAAATGTGATCAGGATATAAAATAATTTTACAGGTTCCAACATCTTGGAAGTTCCAATTTGTAGATTTTTACTTTTCATAATTCCTTAAAATAAAATGTAATCATGAAACTAGTATTACACTGTATGTTAACTAACTGGGATTTAATTACAAACTTTTTTAAAAACTTAAAATCTACAAAAATAAATAAAATGAAATGTAACTAATAATGAAAAATGAACAAGTTTATCTTACCTATTTGTAATTGAACCTGTTAGTCTGGTTCAGCTTTTTTTTAGCAATGCTGAATAACATACAAACTAGAAATGAATGAGGTTGTTAGTTTTTTATTGAACTATCTGCTTAATACAAAGAATGTACTGGTCTCCAAAGTTAAGACTGATGGCTTACTGCATTCCATTTTATTTCCCTTATTCTTCAGGTAATAAGATTCTATGATAGCCATGAAGGTTTGTTTGTTTGTTTTTTTTAAGACATCCTTTTTTGCCATATGGATCCTTCGTGTTTTTAAGCATAGAAATCTACTTAGTTAAAAACTAGTATTCATGTTTTATTTAGGTCAGGTCTTTGCGAAGAAAATACTAATTAACCCTAAAGTCATGGGTTTGTGATGGGAAAATATAAACTTCCCTTTTGTGATTTGTCTCTCTGTTTTGTGACAATTTATTTCTCCTTCAGCTGATGGAACGGTTGACAGTGGTCAAGGATCTTCTGTCTTCACAGAATCTCGAGTGAGCAGCCAACAGACAGTTTCATATGGGTCCCAGCATGAACAGGCACATTGTACTGGCACACTCCCAGGGCATACAGCTTCTGTTGTCCAAGCACAGTCTCAGCCCCATGGGGTCTATCCACCCTCAAGTGTGGTAAGTAACTGCATAAAAGAGTGTAAGCCTATAATGAGAGCCAATAGATGTATGTTAAATTCATATTCTTTGTACTATCCAAGTAATAACATGAGTCTGAAGTAGAAAGTGTAAATGGTATATTTCTGAAGGAAATAGGAGTACAATTAGAGTAGTTCTGGCAGGCTAGGACATAAACATTACTGTGTGAGAATTAGCTAAAATTCGTATGTGAAGAAACTATGTACAAGATTTAGACTAATCTGCATTTGATTAAAGGTAATGCTCTCTTTAGCACTTTAGAGTTGAAACTGTTCAAAACAGCATTAGTTGGACATACAGATGATTTGGAGGTGGGCACAAGGAGACTTTTCAAAAGCTTACTTACTAAAAGATTACTGAGCATTTTTTGTAAGATTTCTTACTGTATAAAACAAAGGTAAGACGTTCAAACCATTATAGAATGCTGCATGTGAGTACTTCAGAGTGAAGGAATCCTTTATTTGTATGACCATTTAATTTAGCGCTTGTGTTTAGTTAACCATTAGTTGCTATGCGTGTTCCTGCCTTAAAGTCTGTGTTGGACACAAATTCCTTCCCCAGTATACGTTCATTTGCTTTTTCTTTTTATTTGGAATTGTTTTATTACAGATTTATTTTCAGAATCAACTTACGGAGATTATTTCTTGAAATATTTTATGCATTTATATATACATAAACACACACACACATAGCCCCATCTTTTACATTAGCCATTTTTGCTTCTCATATAGAAAATGTTAAAATAGATCTCAGGTAATACCCTATTTCTTTTGTTGACCCTCCGTGAAGTCTTCAGAGATAAATAAAGTACATCATCTGCCTCAGGAAAGAATTGGAGAACAACTGGTCACTGTATAGCACTTGTTTAGTGAGATCTTTAAGCAGATAGATTTTTTTCTTTCTCAGAAAGCTTTTAAATCTGAGTGTTACGGAACTTCTCTTCATTAAATGAAAATCTTTCTCAAGAAAATATTTCTGCTTGCTCTGTTCTTTTATCCTACAGCTTGAAATAAAAGATGTTTTTATGTTTCAGAGTCCATTCATCAGTCTTGAGATGAATGGCCACAGTAATACAAACTACTAATACACTGTTTTAACAGTCTACTTTTCTGACCTTTAAAATAATTAGGTAGGGTAGAAGAACTTATAAAAACTATGTAGATGTATTTCTTTGTTCTGACATATTATTTGTCAGCATTCATATCCGTTTCTACTATTGTTCTAATTGATTTTTTGTGGATCATAATAACTAGATTTTTTAAAAACTAATCTCTTGGCTTCCCTTATCACTGGTGTCTGTATTTTAGAAAAGGAAATAGAATGATCGTGAAGATTTTAAATATTTGAGCCACAAACATCCTGTATTTATTGATGCTCTAGAGGACTGTTAATGACGGCCTTGCCTTTTAATTTTCTGTGGAGGTAGCATGAAAAGAGTTATCAAATATTGAGGATTTTTTTAATCTTATGATTCCATTTCTTTCTTATTCCAGAAAGAATTTATTGTGGCTTACAATAATATATCAATGTGGAATATAGAAAAATTAGAGTAAAAAAGAAACAAGGGTGGAGAAAAATAGAACCAGGAATGAACTAAGTACGATAAGTATACTGATACTTTCGTACTTGCTACTGGTATTTGAGCCACAAATTTGGCTCAAAGCATTCTGTGCAGCCAATTTTGGAAAAGAAAACATGATTAGTGACACAGTTCACAATACCTAAAGGAAAATAACGAGTTTGCTCAGGATAACCTTACAGTATTAGGTGTACTGCTTTTTTGTAGCTATATTAAAATTTTTATGTTAAGGTGCCTCAGACTTTATAAACCTAAGTTGAATCTCTCATATGCCGAAAAATTGTTAAAGTTACTCTTTAGAGATTCACATTTAAGATAATTTTCCATTCACTACTTTAGTAAAACTACAGAATGTGTCTATATCTATCGCTCATTACCTCTAGAAAACTAATGCTTTTCCTACTAGAAAATGACTTTCTACCCTCTACAGATAAAAATAGGAAGTGGAATAAATAAAATACTCTGAGCCAACAACTTTTTTTAGTCTGATGCCTTCTAAAATAGAATTGAAAAAGGTTTTCTGAGGTTTCCAGAGTTCCTGCAAAGTAATCCAGTCATAAAGTCTTCTACACCTTATAATAATAAGTTTGCAGAAAACTGCAAGCCAATGTTCATTGTATTCCCTGTTCTACTACCTCAGTCAGTCGGCCATTCTTATTCATACATTCATAACAATTGATGTTATTTCAGAATATTTAGGAAGAGAATTGATCATTATCATGGTTGTTGATACCCTGTACTTGACCAACAGTATAGAGAGAATAGTTGTGATCGGCCAGTTGTGCTTTGTGGAATTATACCTCTCTTCAAAAAAATTGGATTTGTGGGATTGGGGGAGGATGGAACACTTCTTTATGTCAGCTATGCCCTATTTTCATTGTACATTTGGTTATTTTGTTTTCAAAGTACTGTGTTTTCATGTATGTGTTTGTTTTCTGTTTAGCCTCGTCGTGGCCGTAGCATGTCGGTTTGTGTTCCCCATCTTTCTGCTGTTCCCTCTCTGTCCCGCATCTCTCCCAGTGCTCCTTCCACCCCACCACCAGTGCTGTCTGCACCTCTTTCTCCTTCCCTCCTTCGGATTGCCCCTGAGGAAACTTTTGCCGAAAAGCTTTCTAAAGCATTGGAGAGTGTCCTGCCTATGCACTCTGCCTCTCAGCGCAAGCACCGACGCTCCAGCCTGCCTTCCCTCTTTGTCAGTACTGTATGTAACCATAAACTTCCTGACAAATGAAAATTTATTGCCAGTGAATACATCCAGGCATCAAGAATTTTAATAAAAATTAAATAAATAAAAGGACTACACTTAGTAATATATTATGCTTTTAGGATACCTGTTCTTCCTATAGAAAACTTTTTTGTTACAAGGCTTTAAGGAGGGGAAAAAAAAGCAAGGAGGTAGTGAGAGAGAATGCTAATAACACCCTGGGCACATATGAATATGTACACAATAAAATTTAGCTTTCATTATATTCTCCTATCCCCAACTGACCTATACAAATCCTTGCATTTTCATATATTAGTGAGGAATACATATTACTTCATTTTAAATTCGTTGGCTTAATCAAAAGCAAATTTTCTCTTTATCAGAAATTAACCCAAATATATTTTCTCTTCACTTTATTCTAAAGAGACATTCATGAAGCTGGATGAGTCCATTTTTTCCCCATAGTGAAGAGTAATTAAAGAGTGAAAGTTGGTTTTTAATTTGTTAGCTGTTTAAAATGATGGGTTGGCAAACTAAAAGGCCATATGTTCCCTCGTGGAAATTTTTCTTAGATTGAATAAGGTGGGATCTTGACCCTAATGAATACATTAGATACACATGTAGTACATAAGATTTTCTTAGGCCCCATTTATATCTATAAAAGATCTGTCTTTTAAAGTTTTATTAAACACTGTGGGACCTTGCTGCTGCTTTTCCAGATAGAGAATATAGTTATTATTCTGATACAGTAATACCAATATCTGCAGATTTTTACTTAAGAGAGTGAGTAACTATATAGTATTTTATGGCTTTGGCATTCTCCTTGAATAAACAGTAAAATGGAACATTCTGGTTTGAAATAAAGGCCCTCTTTTAGCTGTTGTGAAGAAGTAACAGTTAAGCTATTTTACTAATTTGATAGGGACCATCCGTACTAAAAGAATGAAACCAATCTACTCTTTTTAAAAAGAGTCCGTGAAAGTACACTGTTTGCATTTGGCAAGGTAGGATTCTAAATTTAGAGTCTATGTCTAGAACTGCCTCTAAATAAAAAGTGCTATTAAATCAGTGTTCATTATAGTATCCTTTTCACTTGATTTGAACACCAAATTACTCAACCCTTAACTAGGATCAGAAAAGTGGACATTTAGTGATTTGGCATCTGCAACATGTTTCATGTAGCAAAAGTTAACTGCATCTAGTTTGGGATAGATGGGAAAAGGACATTACTGTCAGTAGTCAGTAGTGTGTTTTTTGCTGTCCACCAAAAATACCTCTTTTCTAGTTAGAAGGCATACTATTAGTTGATAAGAAAATAACACTGGAGCCTCTAGCACAGCACCAGATAATAAGAAGATAGAGTATAGGAAAACTTTGTATTGCAGGTTAAATTGAAGTATCTTCCATTTTAAAAATGTTGGGATTATATTGTCTTATTGTCTTCACTTAACTCTTACTATTTTAACTCTTTTTCCACTCGTGTAATTTACATTAAATCTTAAGAGTGAGCATATTAATTGGGGGTAAAAACAGAATAGACACTTAGAAAGTTCTTCCATTTCCTTTGAGAGAGGATGTTGTGGAAAAGCAGCTCTTACCTAACGCAAAGAGTCCCACAGACTAATTTTACTGACCCTGGATGTATTTAATGGATTTTTACTATGCACATAATTTCCATAAGCATTGTTATTTCTTTATTAATTATAAATTTGGTGTAACCATTTCATACGGTTACACAGAGCTACCCAGTTTTGCATGTCTTACTGTAATTTCACATATGAATGTATGAATTACTTGTCTTATTCATGTTGATACAGCCTCAGTCCATGGCGCATCCGTGTGGGGGGACCCCAACATACCCAGAATCACAGATATTTTTCCCAACTATTCATGAACGTCCAGTTTCTTTTTCACCACCTCCCACCTGTCCACCGAAGGTGGCCATTTCCCAGCGGCGTAAGAGCACCTCCTTCTTGGAAGCCCAAACTCGCCACTTCCAACCCCTGCTGAGGACTGTTGGCCAAAATCTTCTTCCACCTGGTGGCAGCCCAACTAACTGGACACCAGAGGCCGTAGTTATGTTGGGCACTACAGCCAGTAGGATAACTGGAGAGCCATGTGAGAAACAGGTCCATCCTATGTTTGAACCAACTCAAGTTCACGGTGACTATAGACCTGGACTAGTACTTCCAGAAGAAGCTCACTATTTTATTCCTCAGGAAGCAGTGTATCTAGCTTACCAGGCCCAGGTGACAGAACAGTATGAGGGTATTCCATACAACTCACCAGTACTGTCAAGTCCTATGAAACAGATACCTGAACAGAAGCCAGTACAAGGGGGCCCTACCTCAAGTTCTGTCTTTGAATTTCCATCTGGACAGGCTTTCCTGGTAGGACACCTTCAGAAGTTAAGATTAGATTCTGGATTGAGTCCAGGATCTCCCCTCTCTAGTATTTCTGCACCTATCAGTACAGATGCTGCACGTTTGCAGTTTCACCCTGTCTTTGTTCCTCATTCTGCGCCCGCTGTGTTAACTCGTAACAATGAGAGAAGCAATTGTGTATTTGAGTTTCATGTTCACACTCCAAGCTCCTCTTCAGGAGAAGGAGGAGGAGTTTTACCTCAGCATGTTTACCGAAATCGACAGGTTGCAGTGGACTTGAATCAGGAAGAACCACCTCCTCAATCAGTTGGATTACACGGCCGCCTACAGCCTGTGACTGAAGAACAGCGTAATTACCATGCCCCAGAATTGACCGTTTCTGTGGTAGAGCCTATCGGACAGAACTGGCCAATAGGAAGCCCAGAATATTCCAGTGATTCCTCACAAATTACTTCTTCAGACCCCAGTGATTTTCAGTCACCTCCCCCTACAGGGGGAGCAGCTGCACCTTTTGGCTCTGACGTCTCGTTACCCTTTATCCGTCTGCCTCAGACAGTGTTCCAAGAATCCCCACTTTTCTTCTGTTTCCCCCAAGGAACCACATCTCAGCAGGTTTTATCTGCCTCATTTTCTTCAGGAGGATCTGCACTCCATCCACAGGTTATAGGAAAACTTCCACAGTTCTTTTAAACTACCCTACTATGCATCATTACATTTAAGTTTTCTATCCCTCCTTTCCATTTATAAGGATTATTTTTAATTTTATTAGTAGAGTTTCTCCTTTTGGGGGGGGATTATAAACTACTTGTATATAAGAACAAAATATGAGAGAGAAGCTGCCTCGTTTACCTATAATGTGCGCAAACCCTTGAAAAAGAGAACACAAAAACTAGAATTTTAAGCACTCGTCAAAATCAGTTCTATTTGTACATAGAATAATTTCAACTTGTAGTGAAAATGTAAATGGCTGTAGAGTTAACTCCTCATTGATTATTTATAAATGCTAATGTGAAGTATTTCTTTCTCCCTAGAACAAACATGACTAGTTTTTTAAAAAATAGAAAGGATAACCTCTTTTTTCTGTAAAACGAAAAGAATGGAAAATGGGAAATTTTTTTAAGACTATTAAGAATACACAAAATTTTCGTAAGTGTGGAAGAATCTTGAAAGACAGAAAGGAAACATCTTAAGAATATAGGAACAAATGAAAATGCCTTTTAAAATGGCATCATTTGAACAAGTCACTGTATATGTCCAAATAAAATATTAATCCATAAAATTGACTGATTCTAATTTTTAGCAACAAAGTTATAATCTAGTGTGGGTGGTGGGTTTTTTGTTTTTGTTTTTGTTTTGTTCTTTAAGAATTTGTGATATGTGTTGCAAGCTAAGAAACATATCTCAGGCCTTGGTTCCTTCCTCAACAAATTAAATTTTGTTATTTATATATATGGGTGTATGTACTCTCTTGTGAATAAAGACAAAGTAATGAACATAATAGAATTCAACAAGTGGAGTCAGTATTAACTATTTCATATATTCCATATATTTTATCAAATATATAAATCTTAACAAAATCAATATAGGAGTCTTTCCAATTATATATTCAAGGCATCATTTGGATCTTCTAAATTTTCCACTCTTACAAAGTATTATATGTTCTTGATACTTCCTTCCTATGTTCTTCCCTCATAAGGGGAATAAACTACCCCAAAAGTGTACATAAAATATCAGTTATTTAGAATAGTTCTAAGAAGCAAAAAGATCCAGAAACTTGAAAATTATGCTGCATGGTATAAAATTACACTGCATGCAGGGTACTCATGTTAATGCAGTAGTTGTTAGCCTGTACTGTAAATCCTAATGCACTGCCAGCCATTCTTCTTTAAACATTCCAAAGTGAAATATCAGGTGGTTAATTTACAAACCTACTGCAGGAAGAATGTATACTTAGTAGTAGTTAAGATGAGTAGAATGTGATGTCAGATCCAAGTAAGCTTTAGAGAAACCCCTCTAGACTGAAATGGAACACCAAAGGTGGTGGGCCTTTTCATTTCCTTACCTTACTATATAAAATCCTGTATTCATTTCTCACTTTCTCATTTATCTTAACTTAGACAACTTCTAGGTCAGGGTTTCTCAAATTCATCACTACTGATATTTTAGGTTGGATAATTCTTTGTTGTGGGTTGTGGTTCTGTGTTGCAGGATGTTAACAGCATCCTTGGCTTCTAATCATTAGATGTCTATAGCAGTCACCTCCCTCAGTTGTGACAACCAAATGATCCCTGGGAGGGCAAATAACAGGTTTTTTACATTTTTGGTAAAAGTCACCATGGCCCTACAAAGAAGTAGCAAAAGGAACCAAATTAGCATTATCAAATACCCTTTTGTCTTCAATTGTTCAGATATGGAATTTTTTCACATCGGTAGTCATACTACTATTTTCCTAATTATTATATTTTCAGTAAGAATTTTATTATGAATTTTAGTATTTTGGCCAGGTAAAATTATAGCTGGAGCACAGCAGTAGTAGGTTTTAACCATCAGTGGTTTTTGTGTGGGATCAGAATATGCTCTGTGATGTAATCCTTCTCTAACCTTTTCTTACAAAAGATGCCCCAGTGGTCTCTCCCATACATACTTAATCAAGCTAATACTTTATTTTGCTCAAGCACACTTTCAGGAGTTTAAATATTTATTGCAAAAGCCTGACCTCTCTATATACTTACGTAGTGCTTCGCTAATTTGTTGTATTCACTTCTTTCCTTCAGGCACAGGGGCAAAGCCAGGGTCAACCATCCTCAAGTAGCTTAACAGGGGTTCCATCTTCCCTACCCATACAACATTCTCAGCAGGTGAGAACAACTCATTGCTACATTTTATGGATTAACAGTAGCCAAAACACTGTTTAACATCTTCTCATGAATTAGATTCCTGATGTAAATAAAGGCTTGCTATGTTTTTGAAAGAAAAATCAAGAGGCATAACATTTCTTGTGTTCTTGTGTTTCTAAAAAGATTTTAGAAAATCTTTTTTGTTTAATGTATTTTTAAACTACTAAATTAGACATAGCATTGAAATTCAAAGGAATCATTGTTAACTGATAAATTATTCATCTGCCATCTGAAATAGATGATTCTACACATAATTTAACAATACAGAGAATATCAATTTTGTTTTTATATTTGTGACTTACCCTTCTATGAGCATTTTGCCATTGCTTTCATTGTATTTGACTCTACTAATGCTAAACTCCTATTTAATTATTTCTAATCTGTGGGATGGGATATAAGATTTTATGCTAAGAGAAGCTGAACAACTACTTTAGGAACTTTTTAAACATTGCTTAAACTTTTGGTTTGGGGAATATAATCCCCAGGGTTCAAGGAGCTCAAAAAATTAGTACAGTGTTGATGTATTCAACAGCAGAACTACTAATTCTAAAATTAAACATCTGTAGTTCAGTACTGATATTAGTTAATAGTAATTATTTGCATGGGAATAATGCTTTTTTGGTACTATTGAATATTTATTAACTGTTTCAAATAAAATCTATAGTCACTACATGTGTCATAAAAACTTCCTGATGAACTATTTCATTGATAGTTCCCTACGAAGTGTGTCTTCCAACCACCAAATCATAAATTAGTTTCTCTATTAATTTTTTTAAACAACACTTTTAATTCTTATTACAAAATAGTCTCCTTCTAGTCCAGCATGTGATCATACAGTCATTTGATTCTAGTTTAAGATTAAATGTTCCTTGTACAGGATTAGTTTGGTTATATGTTCATTTATTTGGTGACCCAACAGCCCTGTCTTCTAGAATTTGCTTTGTCTTGCTTTTGTTCTTTCAGAGAAGTAGCAGAATCTGTATATAATTATAGTTAAATTTGAGTAGTCATATTTTTGCCAACCTTAACAAATTCTATTTTAATTGTTATTAATAATCCCTAATAAGAATACAAACTAAGGGGCCCCTGGGTAGCTCATTCAGTTAAGCATCTGACTCTTGATCTCAGCTCAGGTCTTGATCTCAGGGCTGTAAGTTCAAGCCCTGCATTGACTCCATGGTAGACACGAAGCCAACTTAAAAAATAGAATACAAATTAAAAGTTACATAAAGATGTTTGAGGACAGAAGCACTATCATGGATACCACTGTCCTCGTTTGTTTATCTTTGGACACAGGCCAACACTAATAAACTGAGCAAATTTAAGTGTGTGCTCTGTTTTTCCTTTTCCAAAGGAATTTCTTATATATCTTATATGTGGGCATATATATGTATACTTACTAGCAAATAAAGATACTAGTTCATTGGTAAGAAAAATATGTGGGGGTAAAGGAGGGCAATGTGGTGGTAAAGGAGGGCAATTCCATAAAGGTCAGGCTAAAAGAATTAGTTGACTCTTCTGGGAAAAAAATGTAAATGTGGCTATTGCTATATATAATACAAAATTTATGTGTCAGTGATGCTTTTTTAAGATAGTTTTATTTTGTGAATTATTTTAAATATAGGATGGTGTTTGAGTAGAACCATAAAACTGAGCCCTCAATTTACATAAATATATGCAGTCTAGAATACTTCACTTTTTCAGGATTACATAGCCAGTAAATGGATAGAACTAAAAACTACAAGTCAGAATTCAACATTTCTAGAATAGTGAGGGTTTTTTGGTATTAAGGTTCTACAGGGACTTCTGATTCTGCAGAGGTGCTCAAGAAGCTGCATTTATTTGTTTCAGCTACTGAGGTTTCATGTATATTTTTAAAAAGGTTGTAAGCCCTTTGTACTATATGGGTAGGCAGAGGGAGAGGGAGAAGCAGGGTTCCTGCTGAGCAGGGAGCCCAGTTTGGGGCTCGATCCCAGAACTCTGGGATCACAACCTGAGCTGAAGGCAGACACTTAACCAACTGGGCCACCCAGGCGCCCCAGGTGTTTATTTTTAGAGGTGAGTTTCACTTTACATACTATCAGTTTCCAACCCCATCTTAGGAAACTGTATCTCTAATTTTATTAGAGTGAGGAAAGAAAAGTACTTTAGCTAAAATTTATTTTATTTCATGGGTTTCTGGAATGTAACCAATAAGGGATTGCTTTTTTCATGTTTTTTATCAAGAGTCCTTTCCAGTGCTATGCTGTATCTTAATGAGGTACCAAAAAATAGCTTCCTCCTACTAGAAAACTTAGTATTTCTTTGCCATATGCCATATAGGCCGTAACCCAGCTTACTTAATAATTTCTTCCAAAGGGTCTATCAAGATGGACCGATCAGATATCATTACTTTCAGAGGAGCCTAAATAATCTAGTAAACATATCTGTCAACTCCTACAAAACAAATAAGTGTGGGGCGCCTGGGTGGCTCAGTCGTTAAGCATCTGCCTTTGGCTCAGGTCATGATCCCAGGGTCCTGGGATCAGGCCCCTCATCGGGCTCCCTGCTCAGTGGGAAGCCTGCTTTTCCCTCTCCCACTCCCCCTACTGTGTTCCCTCTCTCGCTGTGTCTCTGTCAAATAAATAAAAAAAATCTTTAAACATAAAAAAAACAAATAAGTGTAGTAGGTAAGATTATATTCAATGTGCAAAGCACTTTGCCTATATTTTTATTTAATTCTTATATGAACCCTATAAGTATACTGTTACTATTTTCATTGTGCAGATGGGAAGGCTGAGATAAAATCTGGAAAAGAGTAATTTATCCAAGCTTACACAACTTATGAGAGGTAGAAACAATTTAAATCCAAGTTGCCTAACTCCACAACTCACCGGTTAACTACATCCCATTTATGACATAAAAAGAGGTAAATTACATCACTTTCATGCAGGGAGGGAGGATATCAAGAAGGCTTTATGAAAGCGATAGCATTTTTTTTTTTTTAAGATTTTATTTATTTGACAGAGAAAGACACAGCGAGAGAGGGAACACAAGAAGAGGGAGTGGGAGAGGGAAAAGCAGGCTTCCCGCCAAGCAGGGAGCCTGATGCAGGGCTCAATCCCAGGAGCCTGGGATCATGACCTGAGCCAAAGGCAGACACTTAACAACTGAGCCACCCAGGCATCCCAAGAGATAGCATTTAAACTGGACTCTGATTATACATTAAACTCAGATGTAAGAAAAAAGAATATTCTAGACCAAAAGGGAAGTGGGAGGGACAGTGTAAGCAAGAGAAAAAGCACAAAGGTAGAAAAATTTAAGACAGAAACAAACCTTTTAGTTCAGTTTAGCTAGAACATAAATAAGTGAATATAAGGTTCATAGAAGAACTGTTTGAGTCCAAATCTTGATGTAAGCATGGGGTGAGAGAGGTAATCATATGCCCATATATAATGGAATTTTTTTCCTCAGATTTTCCCCTTTCCCTTAATAAGGAAGGAAATCAGCATATATTTAAACCTTTATCATACTTCTATATTACAGGCTTTCACTGTCCTTTATTTTGAACAATAACCAAAAAAAAATGTTAATGGAATAAAATAAAACATGAAAACACATGCGTCTGTAAGGACCTTAAAGTAGTATATGTAGTTGGAAATGTTTATAGACAGTATCTGACAGAATTGGTTTTAAAATAAAAGCCAAGAAGTTAAACATAGATTTGGTCCTTATTCTTAGGAGAACAACTTGACTATTCCAGGTGCTGTATGTCATTGTAAACAACTTGCTTAAAGATCATTTTAAGGAGTTAATACAAAGATTACATGAATATAAACCTGTAAGACAAAAGCAAAAAAAAAAAAAAATCCAGCTGTCCTAGTATTTTTTAAGATTTATTTATTTATTTTAGAGAGAGAGAGCAGGACTAGAGAGGGGCAGAGGGAGAGGAACAGAATCTCAAGTAGACTCCTCACCGAGTGCAGAGCCTGCTGTGAGGCTCAATCCCATGACCCTGAGATCATGCATGACCTGAGCTGAAATCAAGAGTCAGACACTCGGGCACCTGGGTGACTCAGTCGGTTAAGCGTCTGCCTTCGGCTCAGGTCATGATCCCAGGGTCCTGGGATCGAGCCTCACGTCGGGCTCCTTGCTCAGCTGGGAGCCTGCTTCTCCTTCTCCCACTCCCCACTGCTGGTGTTCCCTCTCTCGCTGTGTCTCTCTGTTGAAAAGCAAAACAAAACAAAAAAATCTTTAAAAAGAGTCAGACACTCAACTGACTGAGCCACCCAAGTGCCCCAACAGCTGTCCTAATATTATTTATGATGCTTGTCACTGCAAATTTTACCTCAAGACACAAGTTACAGGCAAAGTATTATGCTATGCTCCAGAAAACTGGAGGCTTCACAGTATAGCTGCAGTGAAGATAAAGAGACTGGTTTATTGTGTGGGAAGAATTTGAGAGAGGTGGAGCAGTATTTCTAAGTTAATACATTTATGTAATATGCCATCTTATTTAGGTGTGTAAATTAATGACTTACATAATGGGTAGTGTTGCAGTGTAAATTCCTTAAAGTTAAAATATATTCAGGTTGACCAAAAAGATTTTCTAGTTTCTTTCTTAGTGGAAATACGGAAAATTATTTTATATTCAGAGTTGCCTTATATTTGGATATATATGATATATCTTAGTTGCTGAAAATAAATGTTACATAATTCGGTCACCATTTGCTCCTGATTTAAAAATGTTAAAATAAGAATACGTTGTCAGAAAAAATTAAAGAATAAAACAAACATATGACTGCTGTCACCATCGTGTTTCAGCATTTTGGGGGGTGATTTTAATTGATACAATAAGAACAAAGTAAGAAATATCAGGAGAGCAAAAATCTTATTTGCACATTATCATCTAACAAAATCTAGGATGTTCATGAAGGTGGCCAGATTCATAATATACATATAAAACAAATAAAAACAAGTCCTGGGGATGCAATGTATAGCATAGTGACTACAGTTGCTGTAGTAGTGTATATTTGAAAGTTACTAAGAGAGTAGATCTTAAACATTCCCATTGCAAGAAAAAAATTGTAACTGTGTGGTGATAGATGTTAACTAGGTTTATTGTGGTGATAGATGTTAACTAGGTTAACTAGGTGATAGATCATTTCACAATATATGCATATATTGAATCATTATATGTCAATTAAATTTATTTTTGTATATACCCACACATATAAACAAATAGCTTATCTTTTTACCAGCAGTAGCCAATTAGTTGTATCGACCAGGATATATGTAAAAGGCTACTGGTTGCAGCATTATTTTAAGTAGCAAAAGAAAAAAATAAAAATGTTCATTTTTAGGATATTGATGCCATTGATAAATGAGAATAGCATGTTAGAGAACAGTATTTATAGAATGGGCATGCTTTTGTTTCAGAAAACATGTCATTGTGTGTAAATGACCACTTACAGGGGTGCCTGGGTGGCTTAATCGGTTAAGCGTCTGCCCCACTCAGGTCATGATCCCAGGATCCTGGGATCGCCCCATGTCGGGCTCCTCGCTCAGCAGAGAGCCTGCTTCTCCCTCTCCTTCTGCCTCCCACTCCCCCTGCTTGTGTGGGCGCACTCTCCTTTCTCTTTTTTTTAAAAATGATCACTTACATGTAGAGAAAAATCCGTAAAGGTGATGACCAAGCCATTAAATAGTTTGCCTCTGGAGATACGGGGCTAGGGTATTTCATTTAACTTGATAATCTGATAGGTTAGTTAAATTTTTTATTACAAACAGCTGTTGTTTTTGTATTAATAACAATTTTAAATTACTTGTAGGTATTAGAGAGTCTTAAAAGTCAGCTATGAAGTTCAGATTTTTGCTGGGTTAGTGAGAGCCATTAATTTATTACAAAATTTACAATTATGTGCCATGCGTTAAGTTTAAAAGTGTATTATACTAGAATGCCTAACACATGGTTGATTCCTAAATGTCACTTATTCCCTTTGTCCTACTTTGAATTGAGTGATAGTGTTATTTTCAAAGAAGGAAATACCTTTTGGCAGTAAAATGAGCAGTCTCTAAGGTATTACAACTAGTAAATGGTAAAGCTAAATTTCAATGCTCTTCTCAGTATTTCTCAATAGCTGTAATCAGAGCTATTCTTCAAATTAGCTACACAGTTGATAAAATAGAGTAAGAGAAAGATAAAGTAGGAGATTGGATTTGTTTAACATAGGACCAAAGTGTGAGAGGTGATAACCAAGAAATAGGGTGAAAAAATGGGGAACGGGGGTTGGAGGAGAGAGGATCTATTTGGATATGTTAACTAAAGGTCTTTGTGAATGACCTGCTATTGAGGTAAGAGGGATGATAGGTGAAGAACCAGTGGTGACTCAAATTATGAAACATTGGTTAATTGCTCTTGGTTGTACCATCACAAACAATACCAGAGGAAAAAGAGAAATAAATGTAAAGGGGAATTGATGAATTTGGGTTTATGCATGTCTTGATGACTAATATTGTCATTTACAGATACAGAAGACCTTAGGCAAACATATTTCCTTAGACCCATGCCATTAATGACTTGAAATAAAACTGAAAAATTCTATTTTATTTTCAGCAGCAGGGAGTACAGCAGACAGCCCCTCCTCACCAGGCAGTGCAGTATTCACTTCCACAGACATCAGCCTCCAGTGAGGCCACTACTGCACAACCAGTCAGTCAGTCTCAAGCTCCACAGGTCTTGCCTCCAGTATCAGTTGGAAAACAGGTAAACTCTCAATTTCTAAAGAGATGCTAAAAACGAATCTCCATATAACTTTTTTCATGGATAGGTTTCTATCTTCTCTAATGGTGAAATACCAAATTTGGCTATATTCACTCCAGAAGTGAATTGACAGTTGTTCCTTTTGTGCACATGCATTGGTTAATATAAATGGGTACGTACTGACAGCATTCACAATCCAAAAATGTTTAACTTTTAGGTTTATTAGTCTAAAGGCCGTTTGACAGGTATTTGAACTGGTGGGTTAAATAACAGTGCTTATTGAATGAACCTGAACATTTTCTAGAATTGCGTCAGCGATAGCTGACATTCTAGGTTTACAACTATGCTGTATTTTTCGTGTAGATTTATGCATTTTTTCCTCCTCCATTGCCCACTGACAGTAAGTCATAAAAACCCCTTATATGGAATGGTGTTTGTTCTAAGTCGTCCTTTTAATCACTTGGAAAGTGCCCTTTGGAAGGTATATTCTATTAAATGACCTTTTGACTTTAACATTGGGACTTGTCCTTGTATTTTTGCACAGTGTATTGTTTCTGTCATATTTCAGACAGATACTGTAATTGTAAAATGCACCATTATTTTATGTAGCCAAGTACTGACACACCATTAATTGCAAGATATATCTCAGTTTCACAAATGTTAAAATGACCAGGTGGTAGAGAGGGATGATTGCATCCTAGAATCAGTGAAATACAGTACTTATATACCTACTTTCATGGCCAGTGTTAGGCTTCAGAATTGTAGAAGCAACATGGATTGGAATCTAATTCCAGGGAGAAGGAATTCATTTGAATTCCAGTAACTACTATAATAGCAGTCATAGATTTAGTGACAACAAACATGCCAAAAGATTAGGGTATGTGAAATATATCTAAATAAATCTGTAAAAAAACAAAAAAAAACCTTTGCCTATGGAAGTGTCCTCTTCTTATTGTTAAATGATGAAGCATGAGCAAAATTTTCTACAACAGAAGATTTGAAACAGCCAGTCTGTCAGCCTCTTTGTCTCCTATTATCCTTTCCCTATTCTTGTGTGGCAAATTAACTTACACTAATGTATGCAGGGTTTTGGGGGTTTTTTTTTCCCTTCTTTTTGGCTAATACATAAATCTTGCTTTTGGCAGCCTTGCTTTTTTTTTTTTTTTTTTAAAGTCTGTCTGTTTTGTTTTTCTTTACCTTCCCAGCTTCCAGTTTCCCAGCCAGTACCAACTATCCAAGGCGAACCTCAGATCCCAGTTGCGACACAACCCTCAGTTGTTCCAGTTCACTCTGGTGCTCATTTCCTCCCTATGGGACAGCCACTCTCTACTTCCTTACTCCCTCAGTACCCTGTCTCTCAGATTCCCATATCAACTCCTCATGTGTCTGCGGCTCAGACAGGTTTCTCATCCCTTCCCATTACGATGGCAGCTGGCATTAATCAGCCTCTGCTCACCTTGGCTTCATCTGCTACAGCAGCTGGGATCCCAGGGGGACCAACTGTGGTTCCTAGTCAGCTTCCAACCCTTCTGCAGCCTGTGACTCAGCTGCCAAGTCAGGTTCACCCACAACTTCTGCAACCAGCAGTTCAGTCCATGGGAATACCAGCTAACCTTGGACAAGCTGCTGAGGTTCCACTTCCCTCTGGAGATGTTCTATACCAGGTATTGTGTTGGCTAGCAAAAAGGAGGGCACCAGAGGGTTTGATTCTAATAGTAGACCATCAAGGACTTGAAAACCTAATAGTTGAATATCAAAGTAACTAGCAATAACAAAGGTGTAGCTGATATCAACTAGAGAAGCTAATAGAGTAAAATTCAGAGAAAAGATAGGGTAATGATGTCTGATGATTCATTTCCATTTTTCTTAAGACACTTCTTAGAGAAAGATGGTTCTGTTCTATTTGATGTAAGCTGACTGAATGCTAGATATGGCTAATATATTATATCAGGGTACTCTTTTTTTTTTTTTTTTTTATAGGTAGGGTAAATAGAGTAGCCAACGTGGTACCAATAAAAAGCTTCAGATTATCCTGTTATGATATGACTAGAATGACTGATACCTTGAAGAGTTTTTGCATTCTCCCACTTAAGATTACCTAGAAAATTGATATTTTTCTAAAAAGAATTATGTTTGGGGGCGCCTGGGTGGCTCAGTTGTTAAGCGTCTGCCTTTGGCTCAGGTCATGATCCCAGGGTCCTGGGATCGAGCCCCGCATCAGGCTCCCCGCTCCCTCTGCCCCTTCCCCTGCTTGTGTTCCCTCTCTCACTGTGTCTCTCTCTGTCAAATAAATAAAATCTTTAAGAAAAAAAAAAAAAAGAATTATGTTTGTTCCTCCTGTTTAATCTCCAGGAGGGCAAAACCCAGCAATTTATAGTTGTAGAGTACTGTCCCCCAAATTGAAACCGGTCTACCATTTCAAGAATAATGTTTAAATCTTCTTTAAATTATTAGAGATTGGGCTACTACTATTCTTCTTTGCTGTGTGCTTTCTTTTTTTGTTGGGGTCTTTGGGTGTTTTTTTTTGGTGTTTTTTTTGTTTGGTTTGTTTGTTGGGTTTTTTTATGCATGTCTTACTGTTTTGCTAATTTGATGACCCAACCTGCACTAACTCACCTTCCTCATTTCTGTCACAGGGCTTTCCACCTCGACTGCCACCACAATACCCAGGAGATTCAAATATTGCTCCCTCTTCCAGCGTGGCTTCTATTTGCATCCCTTCTACAGTCCTATCCCCTCCCATGCCGAGAGAAGCACTAGCTACACCGGGTTACTTTCCTACAGTGGTGCAGCCTTTTGTGGAATCAAACCTTTTGGTTTCTGTGGGCAGTATAGGAGGACAGGTTCAAGTGTCCCAGCCAGCAGTGAGTTTAGCACAGCAAGCCCCCACTACATCCTCCCAGCAAGCAGCTCTGGAGGTAAATGGAATTACTGCATGTTTATATATAAAACATATATACACATGGGATAATTTGACAAAGAAAAAACATAGGTTCCCCTGTTTTAGAACTTAGTTGGAGACTATTTTCAAACTAACTTCTAAATGACTTTTTCTTCCAGCAGAATGAAATGCCAATGTGGGGGCCTTGTTGCCACTGGCTGTTCTGTTGGGAAGTGAGTGTGCCTTGGAGAAGATTAACCCTATTAGCACTTCACTTCTCTAGCTAGTACTTTAGCCATTATTCTTGTCCTTTCACAAAGTCTTGCCATTGGCAGTCATAAAAGTATCTTATCCTGCTGTGCTCCCAGTAATCATTTTTGCCCTACTAGGAGAAAGATCTGAATCTTTGCACTTTGCTCTGCCTGCCCTGTTGCACACTTCTAGGAAGATGCTGGCTGCATGCAAGTTGTACTTTCTCACTACCTAGCAGCTATGTCGGCTGATGTCACACCATGCAGTCGATACCAGAGCCTTAGTTTTAGAAACTTCCTTTGGAATTTTAAGACCACTGTCTCTAGATGCTGAATACTGAGAATACTAGTAAATTTAGTGCTGCTAGGACTTAGACGGGGGGATAAGGAAAAATAAAAAAGAGTAGCTTATTGGAGATAATGAATAATAAATAAAATGTGTTACTGCCAAGAGTTGCATTATTCTCTCTATTTACAGAGTACTCAGGGAGTATCTCAAGTTGCTCCTCCAGAGCCAGTTCCAGTGGCACAAGCACAGCCTACCACTTTGGTCTCCTCTATAGACAGGTATGTAAAAGTAAATTCTCTTTCCTTGCCTGGCAGGTAGGATGATCTAAAACTTCAAAATATTAAACCTTTAAACACTTAACTTTTTTTTTTCTCCGAAGTGCACATTCAGATGTTGCTTCAGGAATGAGTGATGGCAATGAGAATGTCCCATCATCCAGTGGAAGGCATGAAGGGAGAACTGCAAAACGGCATTATCGAAAATCTGTTAGAAGTCGCTCTCGTCATGAAAAGACTTCACGTCCAAAATTAAGAATTTTGAATGTAAGTTTTACTAATTTGTGGGTTTCGTATAGTTACTTAATATCATTTAAATATCTCCAAGGCTCAGGTGTATTGATGAAAGTTTGGAGTTTTCTAATCACCCAATAATATTGGTAAATTCCATATTTTTATAGTAAGACATTTATTTACCTTTTAGAAAAAGAGTTTTAATTTGTAGAACAGAGACTTTACATTCCTTCCAGACCCTTCAGTGGAAGATGAGGAAGTAGCCCAAGGGCTGGTATTTTCTTAATGTTTTCTTGCTACCAGTTTAAGAGGTAAATACCAACAAGTCTTTAAGTGGTAACATCAGGCTTAAGTTCAAGTGATAATCTGCATTCTTTTCTCAAATTCAGTAACAGCATTGAATATGGCTTCTGCAATATTAAGTACCTTTTCTTTTTCTTTTTAGGTTTCAAATAAAGGAGACCGGGTAGTAGAATGTCAGTTAGAGACTCATAATCGGAAAATGGTTACATTCAAATTCGATTTAGATGGTGACAATCCTGAGGAGATAGCAACAATTATGGTATGTCTGCATTTGGAGCTCCAGATTTTGCTTTAGTACTTTTTCAGTATCCACTGCCCTAAGAAAATGTGCAGTATTTTGTAATCTCTTTTGACAGTTATGTATTTATTTCAACGTGAATATAATTAGCACACCAAACATGGGATTTAGAGATATTTTTGTCTAGGACATGTCTAACTCTAGGTATTGAAGAACTAACTTACATAGCAAGTAGATAATGATACAGGTGGTATGCAGATAGGACAAAAGTCATGAGTAAGTAGCAACTGGAATGACTTAAAACATGAGTAACACTGTACTAAACAGACTGACATCACAATTCTTCTGCAGGTGAACAATGACTTTATTCTAGCAATGGAGAGAGAGTCATTTGTGGATCAAGTACGAGAAATTATTGAAAAAGCTGATGAAATGCTCAGTGAGGATGTCAGTGTGGAACCAGAGGGTGACCAGGGATTGGAGAGTCTGCAAGGAAAGGATGACTATGGCTTTGCAGGTTCTCAAGTAAGTTCACCATTCCCATAGAGAAGCTTTGTTTATTTAAAATAATGCTGTGGTGTTAAGTCTGCTATGCACAATGGTCAGTGATACCACATTATATCTGTGACTGAGATTATCAAACATTTATGTTCTCTCTGCATGTGGCCATTTGCTTTGCCCAATCTTTAAGATAGTGTTTGAGAATGAATTTGATCACTTTTGTTTGTTGTAGAAATTGGAAGGAGAGTTCAAACAACCAATTCCTGCATCTTCCATGCCACAGCAAATAGGTGAATTTCTTTTCTTTCCATGTTTGCTTTTACCTTTGACCTAAGAAGTTGTATGTATACTCATAATGAAATCTTGAAATCTCATGTTGGTGACAATATATAAATAATGTAATTACGTGGTTTCTTTTTAACCAGGCATTCCTACCAGTTCTTTAACTCAAGTTGTTCATTCTGCTGGAAGACGGTTTATAGTGAGTCCTGTGCCAGAAAGTCGATTACGAGAATCAAAAGTTTTCACTAGTGAAATATCAGATACAGGTAAGGAATTGCTTCTACCACAAACTTCTATTACTCCTACAGTATCTCTGTTATATTGGAAGTTTGGTTATCAAGCAGTACAAATGATGACATAGACAATAAAGAAGAGTAGAAAGTTAAGATTATAAACAATAGACAAACATACGGGGGAGGGAAATAGATGATGAATAGGGAGGATTAAAAGACAAGAGCCATCGCTTCTCGGCCTTTTGGCTAAGATCAAGTGTAAAAGACAAGAGCCAGAGAGGAGAAGGTACTAGATGCAGCCTGTGTAATAGATACTGTCTCCATACAGTAGTATGTGTTCGTTTCTCCATTTAGGATTATTGTAGATGCTTTGTGGTGACTTGTTTTTCCTTTTTTCCTCTTTATTAAATTTTTTTGCCCCTAGAAATAGATCTTCATACAAGCTAACTTATTTTGATCAAACTGCTCTTTTACTTTGCTGTTTTAGAGCCTGTCATTTCCTTAGAAGTTTTAAACCTTGTTGGTATGTGGCAATGTTGGTAATCGCAAAATAGATTGTTAGGACAATTTTGAATCCACCCTTTTAAAATGGACTGGTTCTGAATTTTGTGTTTTCCTTTGCAGTTGCTGCCTCTACTTCTCACGGCGCTGGAATGAACTTGTCTCACTCTGCTTCATCCCTTAGCCTACAGCAGGCCTTTTCTGAACTTAGACATGCCCAAATGACAGAAGGGCCCAACACAGCACCTCCCAACTTCAGTCATACAGGACCAACATTTCCAGTAGTCCCTCCTTCCATGAGTAGCATTGCTGGAGTCCCAGCCACAGCAGCAGCCACACCTTCAGTATCAGTCCCTGCAGCTAGCAGCCCCCTTACTGACATTTCCACATCAGTAATGCAGTCTGAGATTCCAGTGCCCACTGAAACAGGGATCGGTGGAGTTGCCACCTGCGCAGGTGTGATGCCCTCAAGTGGTCTCCCTGTACCACCTGTATCTGAATCACCAATATTTTCCACTGTGGTTTCGAGCATCACAGTACCTGCAGTTGTCTCGGTATCAGCAACATCCCAGCCAGTTCAGGCTCCCACATCTGGGAGCGCAGTTTCTAGCATAGGCACTTTGCCCTCTATGCCGGCTGCAACAACTTTAGCCCCTGCAGTGGGCAGTGCTGCCGCGCCGGGTGCTAAGCCCCCACCTGTACTGTCGCAGCAGGTGGCAGGCAGTACTGCTGGCGCAGCCACATTAGCCTCTGTTCCTGCCACCGCTCCGTTCCCAAGCTTAGCTTCACAGCCGTCTCTTCAGCTTAGCAGTAGCACCTCTGCTCCGACTCTAGCTGAAACAGTGGTGGTTAGTGCACACTCACTAGATAAAACATCTCATGGTAGTACAACTGGATTGCCTTTGTCCCTCTCTGCATCATCGTCTTCCTCCCCTGGAGCAGGATTATCTAGTTCCGTTTCTCAGCCTGGTGGGATGCATCCTTTGATCACCCCATCAGCTATAGCTTCTACTCCTGCCCTTCCTCAAGCAGCAGGACCTACTTCTACACCTTTATTGCCCCAAGTACCTGGTGTCCTACCCTTGGTACAGCCTATTGCCAGCGTGCCTGCCGTGCAGCAGACACTAATTCACAGTCAGCCTCAACCAGCTTTACTTCCCAACCAGCCCCACACTCACTGCCCTGAAATAGATGCCGACTCACAGCCCAAAGCTCCTGGAATTGATGACATAAAGACTCTAGAGGAAAAGCTGCGGTCTCTCTTTAGTGAACACAGCTCATCTGGAGCCCAACATACGTCTGTCTCACTGGAGACTTCACTGGTAGGAGAGACCACTGTCACACCAGGCATCCCAACCACCGCTGTTGCACCAAGCAAGCTCATGACTTCCACTACAAGTACATGCTTACCACCAACCAGTTTGCCACTGGGTACAACTGGTTTGTCAGTTACGCCAGTGGTCCCACCTGGGCAGGTTTCTACCCCAGTCAGCTATGTGTCAGCCCCAGTCAGCGCGACACCAGGAGCGAAAGCTGGACCTGCTCCGTCGAAGCCACCTTTAACTAAAGCTCCAGTAAGATTCTTGTTCTGAAATAATTTGATAAATATGATCATTCTTCCCCCCACACCCATAAGTGCATTTTTTCAACTCAGCCTTGCAAAGTAGAAATGTAGTTATAAAGACAGCCTGGCCTGTATTAGACGTTCGGTATTTATTAAATAATTTGAAAATGATTTTAGGATCTATGGACGTTGAACACAAGATGCTTTTTTCTTTTGAAATATGGCAGGATTTGGGGATTAATTATACTGCCTGGTTTTCTAAGGATGTATAATAGGTACAACACAGACATCTCTTCCTAACTGGTACCAGCTAAAGAAATCTCTCAAAAGGAAGCTGAATGCTTCTGCTAGCAATTACACAGAGCAATAGCAAATACTCACAGCCTTTGTTTCAGTGAGAATGAAGCAGAAGCAAATTTTCTGCTTTGCTTAGATTCCACAGATACACAATTTGGGGGTTATAAAAAATTGGAAGTTGGCGATGAATTTCATACAGAGGAAAAAAGACTCTAATCCTAGGAATAAAATAACTAAAATATGTTTTCTAATTCTGCTGTGGTGGATTTCCTCTCATTCTGCCGTCTTCAGTCTCCCTGATCTGCTCCAAGTAACAAGATTGTGTTTTTTCTACTATATTCTGTGCTTCACTCATCTTTCTGCTTTGCCATTGACTGTAAAATTCTTTTTATAGTAGGATAATAATAGAGGCTGTGTACAAATTGTTTACTAGTAATAGTATCCTGATGACTTTTGTTATCAGACTTGACCTTTGGTTATTTCTGAACTGTATTGTTTTCTCAGAAAAATGTTTGTTTTAGGAAAAGCCAGATGATACTATGCCAAAACAGTGGCTCAAGAATACTGGACTATGCCTCTCATGTCCTTAAAGCCTTTGATTCTCTTTTCCCTAGGGAATAACCTTTTACTAAATTTTGCTATTCATTTTATTGGTATGCAGTAGTAACCCCTATAACACTATCATGGTTATAATGTCCTTTATTTAAGATAGATACCAGAATATAAGCTAGGTGACAAGCATGTCTTAACTATAGATATATTTTACTCTTACGTCTCTACATTGGAATTAATTGATTTGCTCTCCAGTATGCAGTCTTTACTCTTAGTGTCTCATGGACTTGAATTTCCCTTCATTGTCTGTAGGTGCTGCCAGTGGGTACTGAACTTCCAGCTGGTACTCCACCCAGCGAGCAGCTGCCACCTTTTCCAGGACCTTCACTAACTCAGGTGCCCTGCCCCAAGACTTGGCAGATTTCTTTTTGTACCCCTACTTTTCTTTCACAAAGCTTACTTAAATTCTCCATTGCATGATCTTGGCTTCTGGCTTCTCTTTGGTTTTGACTTAGTAACAACTTTCTTTTAAAACAGTGTAGGTAATTATCTAGGCCCTATTTAAAGTAAGAAGCTTCATAGTTCTCTTGTTCATAATATTGCTTCAAGTCATCTAGAAAACATTTGATATTAATACTTCTTCATATTTTAGGAAGGAAGAAAATGGCAAGGTTTACATTTTACCAGACAAATATAATTCTTCTCATTCACAGTTTTGTGGAGTGAAATTGCATCTAAGGACTGAGATTAGGTTCTAGACTACTCTGGAAGTAAAAACTTACAAGTAATCTAAATTAACTTTGAAAGTTCCTTAAGAAAAGATACCACACTGATAACTGATAATGCCCCTTTTCTGTGAGCTCAACCAGTTTTTTCTTGAATGTTTGACATTTCTTTCATTGACAACCTAATAAAGTAATTGGCTTATGTATAGGTGGATATAAGGGTCATGCTTCATGAAAAATACATATTATATCTTTCAGTACAAAACCCACACAGCTCAATTAACATGAGATTACTCATACAGAAACTGAAACCAGTGACATGAATATTAATTCCCTATCTCACGCTCAGTTCTGATCATTGGGTAGAACTGCCTGCAATATTTAAATTATCATTTCCCTTTCCCACCCTACTCCACCACCCCACACATTTAGTTGAATACCCATAAGGAAAGTACTTACTATGAATTCATTATAATGCTGAAAAAGCTTCTGCCCTGAGACAGAGTAGTAAACATTGAAACTAAATCAGTGATTTATTTTAAAATTGTATCTAAGGAAAACATGATAAATTTCTAACTTGAGAAGTCTGACTTTATCCCTACTTATGTAATCCTAGATGTACAGTAGAACATAACTTACAGAACTTGCCAGAATAAAGTAATAACTCCAAAGAGAACTCAATCCATCAGCCACTAAATTTTGGAAAAAATACATTGTGAAATTCTGTAAAGTAGGGGTTTTACACCTATTTTCTCTTAAAAACACACATTGAGATTCCTAAGGGGGCTCAAATGTGACACAAAAGAGCAAATAAGATGGGGAGGGGGTGGTGAGGGTAAGTGGATAATGCCTGTATATAGAGGAAGAAAGATAAAGCTGCAGAAGAATGGGTTGATAGAAGTCAATAGATAGATGTGGGATTACAGTCTGTGTCAAAGGTAAAAAGTTAGCGGCCTTGGGGTGGATGGTAGTAAGACGTGGTTAACAGGATGGAATGTCCAAACCTCCAGTTCCTTCTTGCTGCAATCTGTAGGGTGTAAGAAGTATAGATTATTAAGACTTAAAGAAATACGGGGCGCCTAGGTGGCTCAGTCGTTAAGCGTCTGCCTTCGGCTCAGGTCATGGTCCCAGGGTCCTGGGATCAAGTTCCGCTTCGGGCTCCCTGCTCCGCGGGAAGCCTGCTTCTCCCTCTCCCACTCCCCCTGCTTGTGTTCCCTCTCTCGCTGTGTCTCTCTCTGTCAAATAAATAAATAAAATCTTAAAAAAAGAAAAAAAAAGACTTAAATATCCCTTGGTAGTGACAGGATATATTAATGCCATTCATAAAGACAAGTTCTCAGAAAGATGTACCAAACTGAAAGGAAAATAGGGGAACATGTGATAGAATTAATCTACTGATAGATCTTGATACATTTATCAGAATTTTTTTTAAGATTTTATTTATTTGAGAAAGGGAGGCAGAGAGAGTGACAGAAATATAGCAAGAGAGAACACGAGCAGGGAGGAGAGGGAGAAGCAGACTGCCCGCTGAGCAGGGAGCTGACACGGGGCTCCATCCCTGGACCCTGGGATCATGACCTGAGCCAAAGGCAGATGCCTAACTGACTGAGCCACCCAGGCGTCCCTATCAGAATGTTTTTAAAGAGAGGACAAATAGAAACTTTTCTATCACTTCAAGTAACATCAAACATAGAAGGTAAGAAGACTTCAAAACTGTAAAAACATAAATGTAACTGAATTTCTCTTAGGCTTGGGAAATTGACATAAATCATTTAAGGAATGTAAGTTAAATTTAGCATATTGAGTTTTATATTCAGTGAATAGATAATATGTTGTGTCAATCTAAAGCATCAAACAGTATTCGTATATAGACTGGCTATATATAGTGGCTCTGACTATGCCAAAGACCTCTATTTATTGTGCTTGTTTTCATTCAGTCCCAGCAGCCTCTGGAAGATCTTGATGCTCAGTTGAGAAGAACACTTAGTCCAGAGACTATTGCGGTGACATCCACAGTTGGTGTAAGTTTTGAAAATCTTGATGACATCTTTCCATAATCCTAATACATTATATTCCTAGAGCATACTGTAACCTATTAATACCGTTAACACCTACAGAGTTAAAAGTATTAATTCAGAGTCTTTGCTTGTTCCAGCAAACAGAAATGAGGCAGATGAATGTAAGATTAACAACTGACCCAGTGGTGTGATTATGGAAAAGATTTTATTTATTTGAAAGGTACTTTTCTTGTCTTACCTCTGGCTAGAATTACACCATAGATCAATCCTATGGATTTTGCATTTATGCTTTGGAGGAAGCTGTACTTTTTTTTTTTTAAGATTTCATTTATTTGACAGAGATAAAGTGAGAGAGGGAACACAAGCAGGGGGAGTGGGAGAGGGAGAAGCAGGCTTCCTGCTGAGCAGGGAGCCCGATGCAGGGCTCAATCCCAGGACCCTGAGATCATGACCTGAGCCAAAGGCAGACGCTGTAATGACTGAGCCACCCAGGTGCCCCGGAAGCTGTACTTTAAGTAAAAAGTTTTAACTTCTTCCTTTTAAGCTTGTGGCACAATGTTCTGATTAAAACTATTTTTCTTTGGGGGCACCTGGGTGGCTCAGTCGTTAAGGGCACACCTTTGTTTCAGGTCATGATCCCAGGGTTGGGCTCCCCGCTCAGCGGGAAGCCTGCTTCTCCCTCTCCCACTCCCCCTGCTTGTGTTCCCTCTCTCGCTGTGTCTCTCTCTTTGTCAAATAAATAAATAAAATCTTAAAAATGTATATTTTTTTTTCTATGAATACTCAAGTTAAACACTAAGTATCCCATGAGAAAAATGAAGAAAACAATATAGAAACAACTCAGGATTTCTTCCTTTTAAAAACTTTTTTAGGGGCACCTGGGTGGCTCAGATGGTTAAGCGTCTGCCTTCGGCTCAGGTCA